ACAACCAACTGATCTTCAGCAAAGTCAACAAAATTAAACAACAGGGAAAGGATAACCTATTTAATAAGTGGTGCTGGGAAAACTAGCTAGCTATATGCAGAATAAAACCAGACCCCTTTTTCTCACTATATACAAAAATTAACTCAAGATGTATTAAAGATTTAAACATAAGACTTCAAGCTATAAAAATCCTAGAAAACCTAGGAAGTACTCTTCTAGACATTGGTGTAGGTAAATAATTTATGGCTAAGTCCTCCAAAGCAAATGCCACAAAAACAAAAATTGACAATTGGGACCTAACTAATCTAAAGAGCTTCTGCACAGCAAAAGAAACTATCAATAGACTAAACAGACAACCTACAGAATGGGAGAAAATATTTTCAAACCATGCATCTGACAAACACCTAATATCCAGAATCTATAAGGAACTTAAACAAATCAACACCAAAAAAATAATAATAATCCCATTAAAAAATAGGCAAAAGGTATGAACAGACACTTCTCAAAAGAAGACACACAAGCCACCTACCAACATATCAAAAAATGCTCAAAATCACTAACAGAGAAATGCAAATCAAAACCACAGTGAGATACCGTCTCACACCAGTCAGAATGGCTATTATTAAAAAGTCAAAAAATAACAGTTGTTGACAAGGTTGTAGAGAATAGAGAACACGTATACACTTTTGGTAGGAATGCAAATTAGTTCAGCCCCTGTGGGAAGCAGTTTGGAAATTTCTCAAAGAACTGAAAATAAAGATACTATTCAACCTAGCAATCCCATTACTGGATATATACTCAAAGGAAAATAAATCATTCTATCAAAAAGACACCTGCACTCATATGTTTCTTGGGGTTTTGTTTTGTTTCGTTTTGTTTTTTTAAGAGAGTCTTGTTCTGACATCCAGGCTGGAATGTAGTGGCACGATCTTAGCTCACTGCAGCCTCGAACTCTTGGGCTCAAGCAATCCTCCCTCAGCCTCGCACATAGCTGGGATTACAGGCACGAGCCACCGCGCCCAGTTGATTTGAGGTGTTTGTTTATTCTTTTGCAGAGAGAGGGTCTCGCTTTTCTGCTCAGGCTGGTTTTGAACTCTTGTCTTCAAGCAATCCTCCTGCCTCAGCCTCCCAAAGTGCTAGAATTACAGGTGTAAGCCACCTCACCCAGCCTGTACTTGTATGTTTATCACAGCACTATTCACAATAGCAAACACATAGAATCAACCCAGGTGCCCATCAATGGTGGGTTAGATTTTTTAAATGTGGTGCATATACACCATGGAACACTCTTAATACACAGCCAGAAACAAGAAGGAAATTGTGTGCTTTGCAGCAACATGAATGCAGCTGGAGGCCAGTATTCTAAGCAAATTAATGCAGAAACAGAAAACCAAATACAACATATTCTCATTTATAACTAAGAACTAAACATTGGGTACACATGGACACAAAAATGGGTACAATAAACACTGGGGATTCTAAAGGCGGATAGGGAGGGACGGGAGCAAGTATTGAAAAACTATCAGAAGCCTTGTTCACTTACGTTCACTACTTGGGTGATGAGATCATTAGAAGCCCAAACTTCAGCATCGCACAATATACCCATGTAACAAACCTGCACATGTACCCAGTGTATCTAAAATAAAATAAAATTTTTAAAGTGATAAATAAATAAAAAGAGCTCAGGAGTTGTTTGCAATTCTCCCCCACTCAACTTCACCTAAGACTGACCAGTAGATAGTCAAGCATTGTATTCATGAGTGCCTTAGATTCGTTCTTTCTTTCGTTTTTTCCCCTTTCTGCGTGGTTATAGTAGCCGTTTGAAATACAACTGAGGTCACTTGTTTCCATTTACTTTCGGTTTTAGGCTTTTCTTTCCCTTCTCATCTTGCTATAGTTTTATTTTCAAACACGTAGATTAACATGCTTCCAAAAGTCAAAACTATACCAAAAAAATTTCTTAAAGAAGTGTCACTCTCTCCAGAATCATTTCCATTCCCCACCTCCAGTAAATAATCAGCTTCATTGTTTTCTGATCCTTCCTGAATTTCTTGTGGTAACAATAAGCAGATATATGTACATTTTGTATCACCCGTTTTCTTTCTTACACTAAAGATAGCATTCTATATACCTAATGTACTTAGCATTCCATGTAAGTTTATAGAAATCTCCCTTGTTTTGCTTTGTATTTCATAGCTGCACCATACCTCATTGTGTGTATGAACCATATTTAATTCCACCAATTTCCTATGCTTGGACATTTAGGTAGTTTCTATATTTTACAATTACAAATCTGTTGTAATGAGTATATTGTTGGAGGTGTATCTTCAGGGTAAATTCCTAGAAGTAGGATTTCTGGGTGAAGATATTGCCAAATTCACCAAAGGGGTACACCATTTGGGATTCCCCCAGCAATGAGTGACAGCATCTGTTCCCCACAACATCATCAACAGATTGCATTGTCAAACTTCATAATTTTGTCAGTCTAATGAATAAGAAGTGAAATTTCATTCTAGTTTTAATTTGCATTATGTTTATTATATGTAAAGTTGGACAACTTTTCATATATTTAGGGTCATTCGTATGTGTCTCTTTTTTTTTTTGTCCCTTGAGGCACTCTTGCTCTGTCAGTGTTGCCCAGGCTGGAGTTCAGTGGCAGGATCATGGCTCACTGCAGCTTCCTCTTCCCAGGTTTAAGCAATCCTCCCACCTCAGCTTCCCAAGTAGCTGAGACTACAAGCATGCACAACTATGCCCAGTTAATTTTTGTACTTTTTGTAGGGATAAGGTTTTACCATGTTGCCCAGGCTGGTCTCGAGCTCCTGGGCTCAAGTTATCCTCCTGCCTCGGCCTCCCAATGTTCTAGGATTATAGGTGTGAGTCACTACAACCGGTGCATTCATATGTCTCTTTTTGCGAATTGTCGTCCTTTCCTGAATTTTGCTCATTTTGCTACAGAGCTTTGGTCTTTTTTTTCCCTCCTTTTAATTAAAAAAAAAGTTTGTTTATTAGAGATGTTAGCCTTTTATCTTTGGTATATGTTACAAATATTTTCTCCCTGTTGTGACTTGTTTTTAGTTTTGTTTATGATGGAGATTTTTGCCATGCAGAAGTTTGGGGGTTTTTTAATGTAGTCAAATTTTTTAATCTTTCCTTATCAAGCATCTGGATTTTTAGTCGTAGGTAGAAAGCCTTTATTTACATCCAAGTTGTACAGAAATTTACCCATGCTTTCTTTTAGTACTTATGTAATTTCATTTCTAAAATTCAGATCTCTAGTCCATTTGGAGTTTATTCTTGTATATGATTTTTAAACAAATATAATTTACAGTTCTCTAAATGGCTATCTAGTTTATTCCAACAACATTTCTTAAAAAGATCATCTGTGCCCCAGTGATTATAAGCATCATCTTTGTCCTATTCTGGAAATCTATACATAGTTGTGTTTAACTCTATGGTCTGTTTACCTAGTCATGGGCCAATACCACATTGTTTTAATCACAGAGGCTTTGTAGTATGTTTTATTATCTATTAGGGCTGGCATCACCTCAGAGCTCTTCCTTTACAGGGTTTTCCTAGGTAGTCTTGTGCATTTTTTTCCCATATGAACTTTAATATCAACTTGTATTGGTCTTTAAAAATACTCATGGTTATTTGTATTAAACGTATAAGTTAACTTAGAACGGACATCTTAATCAAGTTAAGACGTGCCAAAAATAAGGCATGTTGTTCCATTTGGTCAAGCTATTGGGACGTTTGAGATTTGATATTCTCTCTTAGACATTTCCTTAGGTAGTTTTGGTCATTAAGTAAAATAATAAGTATTTCTTAAGCAGCTACTGTGCTCTTGGCACTATATTAGGCACGATAGAAGTAAAAAAGCAGATTCTGTCCTCAAGCAGCTTAGCATTTCACGAGATAAACAGACTAACACACCGAAAGCAAAGCAGCCATGCTGTGTGACTGCAGAGAAAAGCGGGAGTAAGGAGGGCTAGAGTCACGAGGTATTGAGACTGGAATCACGTGCCCTGGGGTTGTGAAGATTTAGGCGGGCAGCAGGGAGCAGGAAGGGATTCCAGTGAGGGGAACCCTGGCAAAAGCTCAGAGGAGGACTGAGTGTGTCATGTTTCACAGAGCAGAGGGCCCCATCCAGACTGTTAGCTGGAACTCTGGGTGAGGCCAACATTACACTCCCTTCCAGCCTCTGAGAGTTATGCCTCCATGTTAATAGTCCCCAAACACTAATTATGTATTCATTAAAATGATGTTAGTGAATGTTTACTGGGTTTCCAGATACCAGTCCTTTAGAAGGGTCATTTCTGTACATTGTTACCTGTTCAGGAAATGGCCACCTGTTCAGGAAATGGCCTTGAGTTGTGCCATCCAATACGGTAGCTACCGTGGCTGTGGAGGTCTTATGATATGGATAGTGCGACTGAGCAACTGAATTTCTAATTTTATGTAATTTGAATTCATTAAATTTTATTTATAAAATGAACGCAGTATAAAATATTTTTTATTAAACCCAACTTTATTGTTTGGGAAGGGCTACATTTTAAACATAGTGTTGTATAACATGATTGCTATATCACAGTATGTGTGTCCAATTTACTTTTTTCTTTTAATTAATAATTATTCCCAGTTTGTAAGTGGACAATTTACTTTTCTTTAATGTAGCTACTAGAAAATTTTAAATGACATATGCGGTCCACATTGCATTTTGCTTTGACAGCACTGGTCTAGAGTCTCAGAACTCAATGTGGTCTGGCTGTACTCATGTGAGAGCCCACTCAGACCTTCAAGACCTGCGCTTGACTAAGTTCCCCTGGTGAATCCTACACACAATAAGAGAGGCACTGATCTGGATGACTTCAGAAGACATCCAGCCATTGGCAGGTACCCAGCGTGACACCCCCTCAAATCCTTCTGGGGCCAGGGGAAGGAGGAAGCTGAGGGAGCACAAGGAGACCCCTGCCTGCCATTGTGACATCACAGAGTAAACCCCATGGGTCACCCGGCCCCGCCCTGGCTGGCATTCTGCCCTCAGGACATCCTCTTCAATCCACCACATACCACCTTACCCCTCTGCTGGCAAGAGGGGCCTGATTCATCCTCACGCGAAACATTCTTTCCAGCTGATTGAGACGGTACAGAAGAGAAACTGAAACTTCTCTGCCTTTGCACTGCCAAAGTGAATGAGCGATCCCTCTCAACTGACTCAAAATGTTTACCTCACCCAGGAGGTAGGTACATTGATTGTGAGATCTCATGTACATCTCATACACATACCTTTAATGCTGGATTTGTAATACAGGCTACACTAACTTAGCAATTTCATAGATATCTCATGGTCACAGAAAGGAGCTTGGAAGTGCACTATAGGGTTCTACAAAATGGAATGAAAATGTGTTACTCAGCCTAGTGTTCATAGATAAACCTGGTATGTCCATACCTTGGCCTGTTACCTTCTCATCTTCCTTCATTAAAACTTCCATTTCTTCTTCCCTTGCCTCATCGTCTTCCTTTTCCTCTCTGTTCCCCGGGCCCCCTATGCCTCTCCTTTTTTCTTTTCATCCGTATTATTCCTGTTGCCAAAATCTGGACTCTAGTAAAGGCCCAGTAGTGGTGGCAACGATAGAGCTGTGGGTCACCCTGGTGAGCTGAAAGAGCAGACATTAAGTTCTATGCCAGAGAACAGTGAGCCATCCCCAAGGTCCCGCTGGAAGCCAGCTCTAATCTGGAACTGGGAAGAACACAAGATCGAGCTCTTCCTAGTCTCAGAGAATCCAGGAGAGTCTTCAGGGGTCCTTCCAGACCAGGAAGACTCTCACACACTGCAGAGAAGTTGTGGCTTGTTTAGGATTGGACCTACATCCTGAAACGACCAGCCGCCCAACTTTCAACTCTAAGGGTTACTTAAAAAAACAAATGCTGTGCATTCTCAAATATTTTGCCTTTCTCAGGAGAGAAATATGAAGCTTGCAATTAGGCAGCAAACTAGCACATACACACACACACACACACACACACACACACACACACACTCCAACACAGGGAGCAATGTGGTATGTTGTTGACCAGCTGGAAGTTAGGATCTCAAAGGAAAGAACAGGATAATTTAAGGGGCACTTCTGTGACTGCAGAGCTGAGCTGGTGGTTCTGAAGAGCCATCAAAGTGTGGGCTCAGGCAGCCTCCCTAAATCGGAAGCAGCCCAAAGTGAATAGATGATAAAGAAGTGGATGTGAACATGACAGAAAAAGCCAGTCATGGCTCAGAATATATTTTATTATTGTTCTTTATCAGTGGTTTTCTAGGAGAGACACAGAGGGAATATGGGAGAGTCTGGTTGCCAATATGTACCTGAGGAGTATAAAGTACACTTAATCCATTGTCTCATTCTGCAGGAGGTCCCATAATCTGGCCTGAAATCTGTACATTTTGTTAAAGGTGACTGTGCCCTGGCTTGTACTGAGTGGCAGCCCTGTGATGAGTCAGGCAGCAGTCCTAGAAGGTTACCATTGTTGACTCTACTATTTACTTGTTTTGCGGCCTTGAGCAAGTCAAACCCTCCCAATCGGAACCCTCACTTGTAAACTGGAGATGCCACGTCTCTTTCAGGCTAGTTGCGAGGTTAAGGAAGAAGTCTGTGAAGAGTCTCGCAAAGTGTCTGCTAGTAGCACAGGTTCGCTTCCCCTTCGTTTCTGCTTAGAGGCACTCTTCCTCTACCTCTTTTATTTTCACAGAACTGAAGACAACTCACTGCCCTCATTTGCCCCTGAGGGTAAATTTAACCCTGTGGGAGTTTAAGTAACTTGGCCAAAATCCTCAGTGCAGTCGTTCCTAGAGTCGTAAACAGAACTCGGATCTGCTAAGGGGTCCGGGAGGCGGAGTCCCGCCCCTCGGGTCCTCCAAAAGAGGCGGACATCCCCTTCCCTTAGAACGGGAGCCTGGGACCCGCAGCTTTGGGAAGCAAGGGCAGGGATATGCCTGACTTTGGACTCCCAGCTGCCCGGCACATCCCGAGCTCTGGCCCACCGGCCTGGGTGTGAGGAATCCTTCCCACCGACGACCCTGTCTCTCCCGCCCTCCCAGCCTCACCAGGCCGGAGAGGGGCCGCGCCACCGCCTCGGGTGACCTAGCGCCCCGGCCCAGCTCCCGGGCACACATAGCCGCGTCCTCCGCTGTTCGCCGGGTCCCCCGGGCTGCCCTGGCCGTCCCTGCTCTCTGGGAGGGCCCCGGGGACACGGTTCTCAGCCGACGCAGGAAGACCCAGAGGAAGAAACAGCCCCGCTCCCCAGCCCCACCCGGTCAGGAAACCTGAGGTGTTAGCGGCCGCGGGGCGGGGCCTCGAAAACAATGCCAAACACGCCCCGCCCGTTGCCGTGGCAACGCGACCCGTTGCTAGGCGACCAGGCGCCGTAGTAAACGGGAGGGGATGCGTTACTCATCGGGGTTGGAGACGAGGGGGGAGCGCTCGGAAGTGGAGATGACGCGGCCCAGGCATCCCCTAGAGGCCCCACCCGTTACGTCCCGCCTCGCCCCGCGGTCCCCAAGAGCCCCCGGCCCCAGCCGACCCGCGGGCGCCGTCACCCGCGCGTGAGCGATTGCCCCACAGGATATGCAGATGTGGCTGCCCCTCTGATTCACCCCAGCTGCTTGGGGCCTGGAAGAAAGGCGGCTTCCTCTCCTGGAAATGACTGCATTAGCAAAAGTCCTCAAACAATTCCATTAAAAAGCGGAAAGGGAAAGACGAGAACTAGGCCCCGAGATGCTTTTCTAGGGTCCTTCCTACTGAATGGAAGTGGAAGTATTCCCAGAACTCGGGACCTATGTTAGGAAGAGTGGAGCCATTTGATTGTGCGAGCATTTGAGATGATGTGGCCCCTTACACGTGGTTACAATTGAGGATAAATACCGGAGCTAAGTGTCCTGCAGTGCTGTAGTCATTTTGGACACTAAGTACGGGCATTTTGGTGGCATTACTCTTCCCTTCCCGGCTAGGAAACAAATGTGAAAATGTCCTGTGTGAAGACCTTTGCCTTCATCAGTGAAGGAGTCGAAGGTCAAGCACTGATGTAAAACATTGCAGTTAGAGCAGCAAAAGCTCAAAAGGTTAGAGATACATCATCCAAAATGGCATCTAATCTGTAGGGGACCACCCAGCTTGGAAAAGGACATAACATTTCCAATCTGTCACTGGTTTTTGAGCAATGTGTTTGTCCCCTGATCTCTGTGCACTAAAGATAATACTCTTTCATGAGATCATCACCGTTTTCTGGGTTTTGCTCATTGAAAAGCAGGAGTGTTTCCACAGGTGAGAGGAAATGGATTGGCAGAGAATCTGTTTGATGAAACTCTGGGTGTATCTGTGTAGAAAGGCTTAGGGTGTGTCTGTGGACCCATGGGCTTCCTTTGTAGCTTCTCACTGCTCTTACATATGTGAATCGGGAAGCATCCTCTTTCCTTTAGCAACAGAAGGCTGTTTGGACACACTTCTTTATTCACATCTTCACTGAGGATTCCTAATTGTATCCATGAGCCTTGCTTGCATTACACACTTCATTCATTCATTCATTCATAGACGTTAAAACACTGCGAGGTTCTGAGGATCAACAATGAATAAAACATAGCTGCGACTACATCAAGCAACTTAAAGTCAAGTGAACATAACAGACAAGTAAGCCATGTGATGAGTTACACGAGAGAGGCACATGCTAGACAGGCAGGAGCAGAGAACAGGGGCATGGTCATCAGACCCGTGACAGCCGAGGCATTTACACCCCACTCCAGCCCTTTCTCTACTGAGTAACAGAAAGAAGCTAATCATGCGTGGGTTGGAAATCTGGCTCCTGGGAGGACAGAGATACTCCTACCAGTCAGGACAAACAAACCTTTCCTGGAAGATGCCAGGATGGATGACGTGAAGAAAAAATAAAACACTGGATCCCTTAGCCCCAGGCCTTGGCATTAGGGAAGTGGTGTGGTATATAACCTGCTCTCCAGCTGAGCATTCACACCTATCATTTTAATCACCTCTGACCTGCAGTGTACTCGCAAAACAATAAACTGCATTCCCATTTACAGAGTATGTGTGGGTGCCCCAAAACCACTGTTTTCCCTTGATGCACACCCTAATAAATGTGGTTTTGTCCAGTACAAGGAACAGTGACTGAGGACTTTAGCAAATATAGGTTAGTCCCCACCATTGGCCCTGTGGTGTCATAATGGTGAGGTGCATCCATATTCCTGCGGAGGTCATCTTGGAATGGTCACAGCCCAACATACCAGAGCTAAATACTGTTTTTAGATGTGGAAACTTCTTGTCTGTGCTGAGTCATGAGCTTCTGAGCCGAACCTAATTATATTTATGTCACATTGACTAGCAATTACTTCTTCTGTTCTAAGAGAGGAAAGGGAAGAAAAAAATATTAACATGCCCAAATTACAATGAAAGGAAGTGAGTGGGATGCTGGGCTCTGATGTTTGTGGCCAGGCAGAGAAACTCATGTTTTGTCAAAAAGAGGAAATTAGACGTTGTGGCCCAGGGTCCTTGGGGAAGGGGTGATCAAGACTGGTCACATCCAGCAGCCAGGCAGCAAAGCACACACACACAAAATGCACAGCTTCCTAAGGGGTGGATCCAGGTTTTGTGGAGGGCTAAAATAATATAATTTTGGAGGCCCTCTTTAAGAAAAAGAGTACACAGTTGCAAGTACAAATTAGGTAACAAGGTTTGAGAAGGGGTGGAGTGAGTAGGAGACATGGAAGCTGAAGTTTCATTAGCTTCGCTCTAAATCCATCCCTGGGCCTCCTCATATAACGCACTTAAGACTCTACCACTCCCATCCCCTTTTCCCTGGAGAAGAGAACTTGAGGCTATTAAGGCACAGGGGGTGCAGTTTATGAGCAGAGGCAATAAAAACTGAAGACATCAGGCAGTGCCAAACAGTGACTCAAGCGGGACATGAGAAGTGTCTGCAAGTATTTGAAGGGTGTAAGCACAGAGAAGGGAAAATAATTGTTCACTGTTCTGGGGTGGAAAGAGAATGAAGATACAATTCAGTAAAGAAAAATGTGCACAAAACTCATCAAGAAACATTGGCTGTGTTTTCTGATACCGTGGAGTTGTATTTCCCATGGGAAGTATTTGAGGATCTACTGAGTCACTGAAAGCTGGAACTGGCCACACCAAAAAAAAAAAAAAGTGCTACAGGAAACAATCCTACGAGACTCTTCTAGGGAGTGGCTAGATGTCCCCAAAGTTGAGCCAGAGCCCTGAATTCCATAAAGATGACATACGGCATTCTGTAGATTAGCAGGCAGGGAGGATGCCAAATGAATAAAAAGAGAAGGATCCTACAGGGAGGAGCTGCCACCTCCACCCACATTTTGCTGACTGGTAGGGGAAGCACGTGACGGAAGCGGAAATGATGAGGTTATAGCGCCACCCAGCGTTGTGATGAAACTACTAGCCAGGAAACCAACAGCCAAGGCAAAAGTAAAAAAAAAAAAAAAAAAAAGAACACAAAATTCCTGCTTCTCCTCCCAAAGGAGAGCGAGTTTTGTCACAATGAATAAAGGGTTGTTTGGGCAATGCAGAAAATATACCCGAACGTGGCACATGTTTATCAAATTTGCTTGTTAACATCAGTCCAAGGAGAGCAGACATTACGGGTGATAAAGAGCAGGATCCAAAGCAACTCGTTCAGCTTAAATGTGGTCTGATTCAAACACTGAAGTTCAGGAGAACCTGCCTTTGATTCCCTAAATGAACTGCACAAATACAGAACGGGAAAGACATGACCTCATGGTTAATCTGGAAGAGGGGGAGGAAGGGCTGGGCAGGATATAGAGGGTTTTATTAAATGTAAGCCCAAAATGAGTCGAACAGGTGCCATTTTTCATTAATTCCTTGGGTATATATTAAGAACTTTCTAAAATTACCAATTCCTGGGCCTCACCCAGAACTACTATGAAATCTCAGGGTGGGTCCAGG